ACAGACAGCTATACCAAAATACCTCAGTCATTTTTGGCACTCATATTTTTGGCTTCATTTTAATGAAGGGAGATTATTAGGTCTGTGTAAACATGATAGATAACTCAGTGTCCTGTTAAATACAGTGTTCTGATTATGAATATCGTTAAAAATAAGTAACATGATTGAACTTTATATAAATAGATGTATCACTTCAGGCTTTATTGTCTCACAGAACCTAGATGTGCCTAATTATTGAGTGGAACTTCTGCTTTATCAGTTTACAGTACAGTTTAAGCCATCACAGCACAGTGATGATACTAAGTGATCATCAGAATTGTTGAACAACAGATTTTTTGGTTTGTTTTTTTTTTTTTAAAGATTTATTTATTTATTTATTCATACAGAACTGGGGTACAGGCCAGGGATGTGGAGGGTGAGAGGATTCACCAGAGACAGAGTGGGGGGCAGAACAGGCAGATAGACGAAGTACACTGCTGAGGGGAGCAGCGGGCGGGCCAGGAGAGGTCTGCCACGCCATGTGGATCTCCTCCGGGGCAGGCGGGAATCGAACTCACACAGAAGTGGCTTACGTCTTAGTGCAGTGCTTTAACCCGCTGCGCCACCAGGGAGGGCCGGTTTGGTTTGTTTTTAATGCCACTGATAACGTATTTTAAGTGTATTTTTCTAGTAACTTTTTTTGTAATATCTACTGTATTTAGTTAATTTTTAGGTTTTTTTTTTTTAGGTCTCATAAAACTTAGCCTTGCTTGCTGCTAGGTCCAATACTACCATATAGGAGGTAGACTTACCCAGCTGCCTAGCCAAGCTCTTTTGGACCCCAGGATGGCTGCTATGAACTGCACCACATCTAAGACCTGATTGGCATCTCATTAGTGTTAAGTGTTTTTGATAGCTTAATTGTCCCTCACTTAAGATGTGTTAACTCTTGGATTGCTAGTCTGCCATTTAATGCGCTAGAAGAAAATATGTGTCTTGTGGTCTTATTACCTCTAAAAACGTCAAAGTACTTGCCTTCTTGTTACAGTACTTTCTCTATATAAAAATATTTATCAGTGTACTTTTTGACTCACTTTTTATTTTTTATGTTATAATTTTTTATTAGTATTGTGTTTTAGCTCCTCAATTCCAAAGGCTCTTTGAGGCTTTGTGTTATGATTGTTACTCAGTATCCCCAAGTACTTAATAATATATTTTACACTTTGAGGGTATTCAGTAAATGCTTGTTATTACCTGGCTGGGTGGTAATTGTTAAATTTGGATGTCATTTAAGGTAACTACAGATCCTATTTATAGAGTACAGTTTACTGAGCACATAGGCATAACAAAAAAAGAAATGAGAATACTGTACTCCAGTGTTTCAGGCAAAATCTGATAACAATGCAACTCATATTCATTTGAGTTTACTTTTTTAAAATTACTGTTTGTGTATTTGTTAATATACATCTGAAGAGGTGTGAATATATAGCTCTGAATCATATACAGTGTTACAAACCACTCTTACCACAATAAAGAAAATGACTACAGTGCAAGTTAAAAAAAAAAAAACCTCATTTCTTAAAATGTGGATTGAAATATTCATAATTTTCTAGGTACTCTGATGATATATATTTCTGTGGCTATTCTTATTCTGAGCTTATGTTTTATCCAAATGATGTGACATGTAGTCCATTTAGTATGTACAGGTGGGAAATAAACGCCTACTTTTTGGGAGACAAGTATATTTAGAAATTGAAGATTTTACTCTGTAATAATCTTAGCACCTTGTCAGAAATTGGTACAACTCTGAAAGGAACGTTGACAGTCTGACCCCATGTTGCTTCCCTTTATAGTGCCAAAAAGATGGTATTGATGTCTTTAGTATGATGATTAACAGGAAGCTTTTTGGACCAGATCTCTTGATTTTTTATTCAGCACTAGTACTTTCTAAATGACCTTGACCAAATAACTTGACTTTTCTTTGCCTCAGTTTCCAGATATGTAAAACTGCCTCATAGGGTTGTAGGAATCAGTATACAATGGAGTAAAGCATCTGACATGCAGTAAGCACTCAGTGCTAGCCATGATTATTGTTTGGATTACTTGTTGATTATTGTTTGGATTACTTGACTATTGTTATTATTGACTGGGTGCTCCCAAGATCAGTTATTGCCAAAACTCGTTTCCTTATTTTTTCAGGTCATTCCCTATTTTCTTATGTAAATAACTATTATCTGTGTTTTGAATGATATTCTCTAGAACTGATACAAATGTCTTTCATACTCGCTATAAAATGTTTCTTCAAATAACCTATTAGCCTCCACCAACCAAAAAAATATTTATAGATCATGTATGAAAGTAACTGATAATAGCATACAGAGGAGTCTTCATCAGTCCCCTCATTTTGCCTGACACATCCTACAAACCACTGTTTTTTTTTCATTTGGGCATAAGGAAGGAAAACATAGAGGTAAAGAATTAATGCCACTGTTGTGATCAACAAATATCTTCTCTAACAGGAGAGACTGGTGTAGGAACAAAACTCAGTGAGAAGCTGTATGAAAATTGTGTATGCTCATGCAAATATACACTTGGCAATTATATAAATTTATGGTATACCAACTCATTCTTTCCAAGAGTCCAAAGTACTTATGTTCTCATTTAAAACTAAGGGGGAATTTGTGGGATGATTTTGACAGTGTTTCATTACTGGAATTTAACCTCCATAATACTACCAATCATCCACACAAATCTGTTATTAACATTCTACATATTTTTGTGTTTCTTCTATATAGTATATTGCCTCTGCTAATCATGTTGAAAATCAGGTAATTTTTTTCCCGAATTTTTTTTGATGGCTCACTAAAATAAATATAGATACCTCTTGCATTTTATTTTAAATATATTTTTTAGAGGTCCCATTTACCCCTAAATATTTAATAAAAAGTTTCAAACAAAAGGATGCTTGATACTATTATATACTAGTGTGGGTCTTTCTTTATAGAAAATTAGTTTAATTTAATTAAGTGGATTTCTCATGCTTTTGATGATATCACAATGGTCTGTAAAATAATATTTTAGAATTTTAAAATCTAGTACAACTTCTGATCATGAGCTTAATTCCTTTTCTCTTTGGACTCTGAGAAAATTAATTCTTTTTCCCAATGAAGGGGTACTGATTGGGTGTCTCTGTGTATGTAAGCATGGACCAGTGTGACTTAAAAAAAAAAAAGTATAGGGCAATTGTCAACAATTCATCTGTAGTTGCTTACTAGGAATTGGGAAACACAGGTGCTTCCAAATGCAAAGTGTGCTTTCCATTATTGCAAACTGACAGAAAGATAGTCCCAGGCAAGCGAGATTGCTAATTGCAGGATAGGATAAACTATCTGTTAATGTCTAATTCAGCCTAGTTATGCTTAGTGTGCCAGTAATATTTTATTTATATATGAACTCTTTCAGTAACAACAGGAAATTGATGGTGATGGTTGGGATGATTTTTTTTTTTTTGGTTTAAGATGTATTTATGCATACAAGAACTGGGGTATAGGCCAGAGTTGCAGGGGTGAGAGAATTCACCAAGGACAGAGTGGGGAACAAAACAGGAAGATCAACTAAAATACACTGCTGAGCAGGACAGGATAGGTCTGATGTGCCATGTGGGTCACCTCTTGTGCCACAGTGGCTACAGATAGCTTCATTGTGCTGCACTTTAACACCTTGAACTACTAGGGAGGCCCCTGGGCTCATTATTTTGACCACATTACCATCACTCTATCAGTTATTCTTGTATCAACACAATAGGAGGAAAATGTAGCTAAATAGTCTGCTATAATCTCCTTTGGCCTGAGTTGAGGTCATATCCCTATATAAAGTTTTAGCAATTGCTTCCATCAAGTTCTCAGGGGGTACTTCTGACCCAGAGCCACTTTTTTTTTTACAGTATTTTATTGTTTAAGGTTTTCTTGTATCATGTAGTAGTATAATTTTACTCCCCAATTTATAAGGCCAGACAGTTGATTGTAAATACAGTTATAATCTTACACACAGGGCTTTAGATGAATGATTTTATTAAATGGGTTTTTAACCCTAGTTTACCCTTTTAATGACAGCTTTGGCATTATGTTCTGCAGCATTAACTCAGGTGCTTCCTTCTCCAGTTTTCAGCTCCCAGATTAGTTTTTGCTTACTTTTATGATAAGCAAAATCTTCAGAGCTCACTCAGAACCTTGCTTCTACTTTAACACAAGATAAGTGGTTGTTTCTGTTGGGGTTTTCACCATCAGTTCTTGGAGCTATTTTGTAGCCTATTTACTTTATATAGCCATTAGCAGGTTTGACAAAAAGAACTGGGCTTCGCTTAAGGATACTTTTGGCTTGGTTACATTGTAGACTTTTGCATTGTACTATTAACAGTGGTATCTCTGCTGTATCCAAATATTAATAATCTTACCTCTGAGTGACTCAATACCACAATAAAGAAAATACAAATTATTAAAAATTATGTTTCTGTAAAACCAATTATTAAATATAATTATAAAATAAAATCTTAGAATTGTTTAATCTAATACAACTTCTGATCCTGAACTTGATTCCTTTTCCCTTTTTGACTCTGAGATGACTAAAAATTCTTTTTCCCAGTGGGGGACTGATTGGGTGTCTCTGTGACTAAAAGTGACCAAAGTGACTAAATTAAAAAAAAAAAAAAACTGTAGGGCAATTGATAACAATTCATCTGTAGTTGCTTACAAGGAATTGGCGATTTAAAACGTTGCCTTGATTTTCAACACAATAATCCTAATTCTCGACAGTTCTTATCCCAATACTATTTGTATCTGTGTAGGTGTCTCTTTTAGCAAACTTTTTCTCCTTTTGTAATAACAGCAGCCACAGCAGTATCTCTTCTGCCCACTTGTGTCTGTGTAAGTGTCTTCTTCCCCTTTCCTTTTTTAAACAGATCTGCCCCCTTTGGATATTTAAAAAAAAAAATCCTAATTCTCATTTTCCTGTTCTCTTCCCAGGATGTGTGCTGTGTTCGGTGGAATCTACTGTCTTCGCCATTCAGTACAGTGCCTTGTTGTGGATAAAGAATCTGGAAAGTAAGGATGATTACCTTCCTATATTTATTTCCCCAAGCACAGGTGAAAAATGCTAAAATTGATTTTAAAAGAATGATTCTTCAAAGATCCTCTTTGGTATTAATAACATATCAACCTTGATTAAAAGTAATTTATGTTTAGGTCCTACAGAATAAGGAAAGTGAGTTCAGAATATAGAAACTGAATTAATTTCCCTGCAATATGACTATAGTTCCTGATCATCCAACCTTGGAAGACAAATCATTTCACTTGCCTGGGGTGTGTGATGAGTGATGTTAGTTTTCCTTGTGGCCTTACCATCCTCTAATTGATTTTCATCAGATGACAACAAAGCCCTCTGTTATTGCATTTTTAAAAATGGAGCTCACCTAAAGACTCATCAGATTAATCTCTGCTGATAATGCATGTCACTCGATGAGAAAAGACTTTAATGAGATTTTGGGTAGATTGTTGTCATAAACTATGCTGCTCTGTTATCTGAGGATAAATTATTTTAGAGTTGCATATATGGCCTGAAGGCCAGTTTAAAATTGAAAGAAGAATGTACCTGTTTTTAATAAAAACTGAACACCAGGTATTTAACTATGCATTTTTATATTTCAGTCATATTTTCTAGGTTTTATCATGATATATTTCTAGGATTTATCAAGATTATCTTAATTTAAAATAACTTTTTCTATTTATAGCATTTACATGTAAATTTAAATGGTTGATCTGGATCAAGTTTTAGGGACTGTTTAAATTCTTTGTATTTTTCTTTTTCTTCCTTTTTTTGTTATGTATTCTTAGGTATCTACTCACCTATGTATCTTTTATGAATGTTTTAGGGATATATAAAGAAGTACTAGTGTTTGGGTCATAAAGTACCTTACTATCTTGAACTGGAAGCTTTAGAATTTAAATTTTAAGCTGTTTTTTTTTTTCATTTTACTAAAATTGGTTGTAGTCTAAATGACTAGTAATTTCTTAAAGACTACTGATAGCACGATAGTGTTTTGAGATATAGTGAAAAAATTCTCAATTCTGGAACACGTAATATTTAAGTAGTGAATTTGCTTTAGAGAAGCAATTCTCTAGTATAAGGTAAAATAGACACATGGCTTAAAGTCTTGTAAAGTACTTTTAGCACTTTAACAGCAAGGTACTACATAAATGAAACACAGTTAGCATAGTAAAAAAAAATATGTCCCTAAAGATACAGGATAGTCATATTTTGACTCATGAAGAGCTCTGTAGAGGTTCATGAAAGAATACTTGTCATTATGACTCATGACACTCAGAGTAATTTTTCCCTTTGCATTCATTTTGAAGTGTGAGTAATGTTCCCATGATCTGGGAAAGCCAGATAATGAATTGCTTGTTTGGTGCTTATTTATTTAGATCCTTTTACCATCTTGGGGCATCACTCTAAAACTGCAAGTTATTCTCAGTAACAAGTAGAATTGTATGGCTCATATTTGTTAAAACAAACAAACAAAAAGGATCTGTTAGTACAGTAATAGTGTTTGTTACACTAAAGGCTACATGTACTTTACTTATCATTTAGTTTTTATCATGTGCTCTCAACAAAGAAACTGTTCTTTATGACCTTCTGCAGATTTCAATTACAGCAGAGATCTGAGGGCTAAGGTTCTAAACACCAAAGCTTGGTAGTTTTCAAATTTTAATTTGCCTAATTGTCACCAGGATAATTTGTTTTAAGAAAGATGCAGATTTCTGTGCTTCAACATTGGAGAGTAAAATTGGTTGATGTATTTGAAATTGAGCCAAGGAATTTTCAGGTTTTTTTTTTTCAGGTTTTCCCTTTTTTAAAACATTTTTATATCATTGTTCATTTTTCATATATTTTTAAAATGTGTTTGCTTTCTTTTCTCAGTCGTAGTCCCCATAGAATTCCCACCACCAATTCACCCTGCACCATCACCATAGTCCCTTATGCTCCTCCCACCCCCATTTCGATCCTCTTTCTTCCCCCTTCCCTGCAGAATTTTCAGTTTTAAGAAACATCCCAAGTGAATGTAATACAAATGCTCCTTAAATGACACTGGGAAACATTGATGAACCTAATAGAGCTACTATAATCAAATATAGATTTTAAATGTCACACAGACTGCTAATGATTTAACATTTCTTTTATATCTTTATAAAAAGACTCCAAGCACAAGTATCCTACACCTTGAATGAGGGAAGACCTAGAATTCCATGGTTGCCATTAATGAAAATTGGCAAGTTCTTTCCTTCATCTGTAAAACTAGTTAGGTGGACTCTGCAGTAAGCTCTGAGTCTCCTCCCAGATATAATATGCTTTTACTGAGTTTTTGAACATTCTTACAAAGTACATAACTTTTCCTGTAACATTTAGAAATAAATGATCTTAAAATATTTTATATGTCCATATATATATATATATATGTATATATATATATATGTATATTCTTGCATAATAGGCATCATCAGTCTCAGTGAGAATTTTTTAGTTTTTCAACTTCTGTGTGTCTGCTTTTATGAATATAAGTGAAATATCAAAATGTCTATTCATGACATTCATTATATTAATATATTACTAGAATGCCAGTTTGCTGATGACTATCATTTTCTTATCCATCTTGATTGCTTAAAATAAAGTATTCTTGGATTCTGCATGATTTTTTAAAAAGTTTATTTATACATACAGTACTGGGGTACAGGCAAGAGGTACAGGGGTGGTGAGAGGATTCACCAGAGACAGAGTGGGGACCAAAAGAGGCTGACTGAGAAGGTACACTGCTGAGGGGAGCAGTAGGCAGGCCAGGAGAGGTCTGCCGCGCCATGTGGATCATCTCCAGGGTGGGGATCGAACTCATGCTGAAGTGGCTTTAGCTTCTTAGTTCTGTGCTTTAACCCGCTGTATCACCAGGGAGGGCCGTGCATATGATTCTTAATAGAAAATTGCTTATTTACTTAATAGAAAAACGCTTTGAAAATTCCCTGCATTCATAGCATTCATGATATCCATAATATTCTTAGTATATTAAATTAGTTGCTTAAGTGATTTTTAAAAGTTTAAGACAGCCAGTACTTGAAAATTCCAAATTCATGTCTGCATTAATTACAAAATTTACAGTATTTTTCGCCAGTTAATAATAAATCCTTTCCTTCAAGGCAGACAGTTTTTGGATATTTAAAGCTGTCATTGATTACAGGCTCAGGGTAATGTATCTTTCCTAAACATTATTTTGTTATTCAAAATTAGAAAGCTACATAGTAGAACATACTTTTTCAGGACTGTGACTATAAAAGGGAGGGATAATCTTTTTTAATGAAAAATCTTGACCTTATATTTGGGCATATGCAGCATACATTTCTTTTCAAGGAGTCGAGTTTGACTCAAAAATTGCTCATTCTACATGTAATTGGAACATTAAGAAATGTCTGTGAGGATTCACATCTGTCTTTTTATGGTTTTGGATTGCCTTTCTTACCCTTTTTTTCTGTGGGGAACACTTGACATCTCCTGTAATCTTTGGTGTGCTTATACTCATGCTTCATATCTAAGGTTGAAGTTTATTTGCTAATCCCACAGACTAGTTCAGAACCCTGTGCCAGCTCCCCCCATCTCCAGTTGGGTTCACTTGTATGAATATTTGTAAATTTCCTATAGGAAAATGCGAGTTCTCGTTCCTATATTTTCCAGAACCAAGTCGGATTCAGATCACCCATTATATTTAATTGTTATATGTTAAATGATGAGTGAAGATTAAAGACGGAAGCTAGCCTTTTTTTTTTTTCATTGTCATCTTACACTGAAGAAAACTCAAAGGAGCCGTTAATGACCACATTGTGATTACACATCAAAGAAATGTACAAACTGAGAGGAAATATGGAATATATAGCCACATGCATACTTTTTTCAGCTGGATTCGGTTTTTCATTTGCTTTTTCTGAGATCCTTACAGACTTTGTTCTCTTTGCTATATTATTCATTGGCCTTGCTTTCTTAATTTTCATAGGATATAACTTCCAGTGGTTATTTTCTGTACCCTGTCACTAACCCCTAATACTGAACCCCTTTGTTGACTGTTTTTAGAAAAGCTGAATGCGCATGTTGAACAGCTTTCTTTTCCTATGCAGCTATGCTGACGATGTAAAACTCCTATATGTTAGATTTGGTCAATTAGCAATATAATATGGACCATAGGGTAAAATGACCTTGGACCAAATATGTCTATAACCAATAGTCTGAATCTGACACGCATTTAAACTCTCAGTACTCTATTTTTAAAGTGAGACATGATAATACTGATCTCATTAGTTTTAAATGAACAGATAAAGCTGGTAGAACTGTTTGTTCACACATAATGAGAGCTTCAGATGTGTTTACTAGTAGGAATTATTAATTAAATTGGGTACTGTGGGATCCTGTGGAAGAGGTAAATTGTGAAACTCTGTCAGTGCTATGTTAAGGAATTTGTACTATAGTCGGTGGTTATTTTAAGTGGGTAAGTAACAAGATTAGATTTGCTACTTTGAATTTCTTAATTCTGACAGTGATTTGGAAAAAATATTCTGATGAAAAAAAATCTTTACCTTCTAAAAATCAGAGATTCTGTTTGTTTTTGTCTGTCTGCTGTTCACATGAGCAGAATATTTTCACCGTCCATCATTCATTCATTCATTCAACAGGCATTAGTTGTTTTCTGTATGCCAGGTACTAAGAATACAGTAGAGAATAGTACAAAGATGGTCTCTGTTCTCGTGGACTTTAGGGTCTACTTGGAAACCTTAAAAATAAATAAATTAATGTGATAATTATAAAATAAGGTCTCTTCAGGATGTAGAACTCTTATTGTCCCTCCCTGTATAAAAATCTTAGTTGCTTTATGTCACTTTTAAAGGTTCTAGAACCTCTTATATGACCCCTGTGACTCTGGAGTCTGGTCTTTGCCTGCTTCTCTAGGCTCATGTCTCCTGCTATTTTTACTGTGCATTATCGTCGATCTGTTTGTGTTCCATGTACCTGC